TTGAGAAATATTAGCCAATCAGCAAACAGTCAGTATAGAGTAAAAATATGTTATACAGAACCAAGGAAATAAAGTGGATACACTTCTTATACGTGGTGCAAAAACTTGTCAAGGTTAAAAAGAAGTTCAGAGGTTCTAAAATCGTAATGCATGCAGTAGGGGAAATCATCCATACGGCTACAGAATAGTCGGCCTCTGGAGCCAATGATAAAGTCTCAAAAACTTTTACAGCCTCGACCACATAGCTTCAATATTGCTTATGTGCACGACACGATGCACACAACCAAGCATATGTAGGAGCCTGTACGCTCTCCAAACATCCGTATATATTGTAGTACCTGGCTGCAGCCAGTGTTACTGGTGCTTTTATTATCCAGTTCGCAATAATTGTCGTAATTTGCCTTAGGAATTATATATGGGGTTTCCATCACGAACTGACATCAGCTATAATGCCAGAAATTTATTTAGCCAAATGGATGAAAGTCTTTCGCGTTAAAATCCGAGATCAATGATCTTATACCTGATTGATTCGTCCACAAATTATAGTCTCGTCGTTTTATTTGTTGTTGCTGCTCAATTATCACGTTTTGTACAAAATTTCCTGTGAACCGATCGTACGTTAGCATTAAGTACTGAAGTTGGCGCCCTAACCTTGAAACCTCTCAGACGCTTCTGATTGGCTCGTCCATAAATAAGAGTCTCGCCGCATAACCTATTCTGGTGCGTTTCTTAAAAGCGTAAAATCTTTCGTTGTACAAGTTACAAAAGGCACAATCAGAGATATAGTGGTTGCTGGCAATATTCAGAGAAAAGAATGTACATTATTTAGATGTCGATTGACTGGACTACTAACATCTGACCGATGATTACTCAATATTTATCGTCAGTATGGGTTTTGTGGAGATTTTTTTTTAGAAATTTCACTGGTCGAAATCATTAGTACCGACCAAGAAGTAAGAAACGGAAACTTGTTGAAATATTTGAAATATTTTGTGCTGAGAATTCTATATTGTACGAAAAATATAACATCGAATAAAGCTAATAATAATAGTAATTATTAGATTCAAATATCTAGGAGTATTTGATTCAGAATGTCGATATACGTTGTTAATTCTTATTGTATAGCCTAATAATCTTTTAATTGATTGTAAGAAGCTTCTAAACGTATTAAATCAAAATGTCATATTTTATTTGAACTGTGTTATGGACATCTTTGAAATAACAGGTAAATAAACAAGAATAATTGAGTACTGCTAAAAAGACTTGATATTTTAAAAGTGTTACATCTATCTGTATTGTAAAGACAATTGAGGGAAGGTTCTTTTGTAGTGTACATCTTTCAAAATAAAAAAAATTACAACAGATTGTTCAATTAAAATATGAAACATGTATGTCATTATAAGGAGATTTCTGATAATTGTATTATTATATGTTAACTTCTGAGTAAGGGCTTAAGAAAAACCAGTGTTAGCATTATAAGCTTAAACTATTAAGGTTAAAATCTAGGATGATCGAATATTAATTGACTTTTATGCATTTTTGTCTACGTTTGTTAGTTATTAAAAAAAAGGGTGAGTAGGTAGATTCATTATTATTTAAATTCATCTGTTAGATAAACGATACATCTTGTAGGCACCGGTACTATGTCAAGTCCATACAGGTAATTCTAGCCTTTGGACAGACCAATCTATTCATTCTTCTCAAGCCACATTTTTTACCCTGTCACTTATTTGTTTATTAATCCTGACTGTTTTTATATGATTGTATGTGTGCTAATTACTTACCCTATTCATTATGTGTCTGTAACCTATTTTCGTTCTATTATAAACATCAATTCACGCTTGGTTAAATCCACTTGGCTAACATGCATTACACAGTCCGTTTCGCTTCACTCTCTCCTCTTCGCTTCCTTCGCTCCATTTATTTGATTGTCTGTTCTGATTAACGATTGTACGAAACATACGAATTTAAAAATCCATTCTCGTAGTTCACTTAACGCGATTCAGGTTTATGGTTATATATGAGGGTAGCCAGGATGTATATTTTGACAGCAATCATTCGTTCGATCTAAGTGGATTCAGATATAAGACCATTAAAATCTTTTTTTGCTCATATATAGTAGCTTTAACCTTCTCAAATATCCTTAATAATAATAAATGATTCTTCTTCAGCGTATTAAATTGAATTCATTGTAAAATGAGAAAAAAAGCTTTATGAAATTTAACACCAATAGAATATCGCTGGCCCCCAAATGCCCTAGTACGGCTGAGAGTGGGGAGAGTCCGCTCTCCCTCTCGAAATACTCTCACACGGCCACGCGTATACAGCCTCTTCCAGGGAAGTCCTACTCATTGCCTTCTCGTGACGGGGGTGTAGTTTACGAAATTGAGAGGACGAAAAGCGAATGTCCAGCGCTTTAACCGATTCGGTGGACATAGAGAGTCCACCTAGGGGAGTTGGAAAACCCTCATTCCAAACGAATAGTGCACATGGGCTCCAGTATCCTGAAAGTACAAATGGCGTATGAACCAATCGTTGGTCACCGGCTACCATGGGACTGCATCTCCTTACGATGCTCCACTGCCTTGTGGGTTAGACCTTTAGGTCAAAGGCTGCGGGTGTGGCCCTCCTAAAATAACCACCTGCCCAGTGGTGCCCAATCTCACCATTCTGGAAACAGCTCTGATGGATGTAAGTAATGGCGGTGTGGATCTGTTGCCTGGAGAAAGACTTCTCGACCTTGAGTATGCGGACGATATTGTCTTACTCTGCGATAATGCCCAAGGCATGCAATCCGCACTTAATCAGTTGGCAATCAATGTCCGTAGGTATGGTATGTGCTTTGCATCTTCGAAATGCAAAGTACTTCTACAAGACTGGCAGGATTCCAATCCTGTACTCACCCTGGACGGTGAGCAGATAGACGTAGTTGAGAAGTTCGTGTATCTGGGTAGCTGCATAAGTGCTAGTGGGGGTGTGAGTGATGAGATCAATGCACGTATAGTGAAAGCCAGAGCGACTTATGCCAATCTGGGCCATTTCTGGCGCCTTCGTGATGTTAGTCTGGCTGTTAAAGGTCGGATATACAACGCGTCGGTGAGAGCAGTCCTGCTCTATGCTTGTGAAACCTGGCCTCTCCGAGTTGAGGACGTTAGACGACTTTCTGTGTTCGATCATCGTTGTCTCCGAAGGATTGCTGACATCCAGTGGCAACACCATATCAGTAATGCAGAGGTTCGGCATCGTGTGTTCGGGCACAGAGATGATAATTCAATTGGTGTCACCATCTTGAAACACGGACTCCGGTGGATTTGACATGTTTTACGAATGTAGTCCCAGAGAATTCCACGTCGTGCATTATTTGTCGACTCTGGGACTTGTCGGATAAAACGGAGGGGTGGTCAGTGCATGACATGATGTCGAGGTATAAAAGAAAGCTGCAAAGGACTGGCTTGTGTCGGTCCTTCGCGACTCCCTGGTTGGGGTTCGAGAGATGGTGCTACACAGTGGCTAGAGACGTTATCAGATATGGCTCAGAATAGAAGCCAGTGGCAATCCTGCTGTAAACTTTTACTTTCTTCATAAAAAGTGGTTGTGTCTCCCTTAACTGAAAGATTTCTTCTGATTGTACCTTTCCGTTCCCTCATTATTAATATTATTATTACTACACTACTTTACACAAACCTCTTCGCTATTGTTTCTTTTTTTTCACGCTCCTTATCTATTTTGTTTCTCTTCAAATTCTCAGTGTTTTGTTTGGCGCATATATATTGGCGCTCTGTTGTACGAATATTTATGTGTTCAAATAAATAAATAAATATCGCTAAAATTTTCCAGTTTCCAAAAATATAGATCATTGTTACAGTTATCAGAATAAATATGGTGAAGAAGATTTGTAGTTCAGGTGGATGATTTTTATGGTGTTTCGTTCTCTGAGCTAGATGTTTTGGTCGTAGAGCTTTCGTCGTTCTTCTTAACAACATCATCAGCACAAACTTCAGATAGAACTGAAGTGTTTGAATTTCTCTATATGTGGTTCACAGCTATAGGACAAGCTGTTATTATTAATTATAATAACATTATTATTATCACTCTTATTATTATCCTTGTCTCCTCTTACTCTTTATTCCTAGTCTAGTTGACCATTTAGTTTTATATATAAATGTTCTTAACAAATATATGCGTGATCTGATTGTTCGAAATGTATTGCGCTAATATATCACATAGTTGTGATAATCTTCGCCTTCTATCTAAATTGTTTGTTTGTTTTTCTAAATTTATTGAAGGAAACAACTTACTATTATAACTATAGTAATTTTAAAACAGAAAGCTACTTATTAACTACTTTATTCCGGTTGTTTTTATTTCACCTCTTGAAAGTAAAGAAAGATTACATAAAGTGGATACATTCAGCTTCTTTATAAATTTTATCTCTCAATTTATCAGTATAAAGATAAAGTTCCAGAATAGAGTTTAAAATTACTTAAGTAACACGTCTATATTTTACAAATTATTATTATTTTAATATTGCCATTGATTAATAAATATTTTATATTTATCGTTGAATTCATGAGTCAATCTAAGGTAGACCGCCGCAACCATTTCATCATAACATGGGACTTTACAGACGTGTACACCCACAGTACTGCACCCGGGACTCGAACTTATGACCATCAGTCTCGTGTGTGAACTTCTGGTCTCTAGACCATTGAGCTAACATCTAACACTGTACATGTCTAACATCAACAAATCCCATACTAAGACGAAACGATCGTTCAATATTTTCAGGTTCTAAATGATGGTCTAGCTTAGATCGATTCATGAATTCAACTATTGAAATTACTATAATCTTCACAAATTCACATTCTGAAAGTTTTTTTATTTATTCACAAACCAAATACAATAATACAATTTCACATTTATTTATTCTTTAACAGGTATCAATAATCCATATGAATTCATGAAATATTCCATGGACAAATTGTATCAAACTGCTTGACATGATGTTGAAAGAACATTTATCAATTATTATGATTATTTATTTAATAATATTCATTGAAATGAAGAAAGTTTTCGCTACATCATTGTGTTATGATCAATCTAATAGAATTTCTGAAATTTTTAATACAAACAAATGTAATCAAGAACATTTAATACGAACAAAGAAGGAAATTCGACTAAGTTAGTTTATTCTGTTGATTAGTACTGTTATTATACTATTGTACTATTGTACTATGTAGATAATATTTATAAACTTTGTTTTAAATGATAGTATTTTATGCAATGGATGAAGAATATGAATGAACATTTATGATTTTGTTACTACAATAAAGATTTATATTGAGTTAAATTATTGATTAGAATTACTTATCGAGAATCATAATGAAATGATTCTTATAGTTTTATACACATAGTTCCTTTTATCATTTTGAAAAGAGCAAGAACAAAGATTCTAGCAGTATAGCATGAATTCATTTTATTTCTTAGGTTCTCGTCAGTTGCTTACAATCTGTGAGATTTAAAAATCATAATAACATAATGGGTTTTAAATTACATGAGGGTTTTAATTGGAAGTTATATTGAAGACATATTCGTACAGTATATCATGGGTGTAGTTAAAATTATAGACTGAACATTAGGAATATATTTACAATATTCAGTCTATTAATTTCATTTACACCTATGATATATTTTACGAATATTTCTTCAATATAACTTTCAGACAAACTCTCTGATATAAGCAATTTAAACCCATTATGTAATTATGATTTTTAAATATCACAGGTTGTAAGCAGCTGACGAGAATCTTATAGTTTTATTCGACAGTCATTTTATTTTTCGTTATCAAACATTTCCGATTCTTATACTTACAACAGTTGTTAATCCACTTCAAATAATTAAAGAAGAAAAAGTACTTTTTTTATACATGTAAAATTCATCATTATATTAAATCATCTCAGACACTGAAACAGTAGTCATTATGCACATTGAACATGATCAGTATTTGAATTATTAAAACAATTTCATTTAGTTTCTTCCGAAAAAAAACACAACAACATTCCATTCACTTGAAATAATGGTAAACCTTGTCTTCTAGAAAGGTTGTTTGTTTTTCTAAAAAAAAACCTAAACTGAATATCAAACAGCTTACCACTTTATAAATGGAATTCTCATACTGTTAAGTAGATTTGTAATAAATAATAAAAAATTCTCATTTGTATGACAAACAACGAATTCAAAAACTTTCCAATGATATTTCTATTCCTTACACCCATAGATATATTACTGGGTGAAAAAAAATCTTACTGTTTTTGGATAATCAACATAAGCAGCATCTCTTTGGTTGTGATCATAGGAAGCAATGATAGAAGATCTCGTTACATCGAAATGCCACTACATTTATATCGTAAATATCTAATATACTGAATTATTGATCAGATTTGAGTAATAACTCTTTACATCTTATTTGATAATCAATATTCAAAGTTGTTGCTCATTCTGTTATGTTCTTCATGTGACTGATCATTTCATCGAATATAAGGTAGTCAATCCAAGTTAAGGTTGAAGCATCACTGTATTTGTTTCAGCAAGAATGTTCTATTCGATAGACGTATATTTCATAATATATGCTCTATAGAATCAATACGTTCTCACTTTACAGACAGTTTTACTGATCATACTAATAAAGTGTAAAGTAATATCATATATAAATAAAAATGTTCATATGAAGTAATCCATTAAATATTTATGTATAAAGCAATTGGCTACTTATGAGTAATTAAGTAGCTAAACTAAACCCTCAATTATTTAAAAACCTAATATATATTTTTATTATTTAAACTATAGAATACAACAACAGATTGACTATTTTTCATATTTCATTTTGGCAACAACATTAATGAGTGGAAAATACACTTGTTTTTGTTGTTGTTGATTGTCACTGTCATTGTTGTAACAATCACCAAAATCAGATAGATGAATCTGATATTTCATTAGTTCAGGAAGTAGTATGTCAGTTATTAGAAAAACGACATTAACAACTCTTGATTATATTTTTTTCTAGGAATATAGAATAATTTATCATAAAGATATGAGTCAATAGCCTATTTGTTAAGTCTGAATTATGCATAATCTATACAATGTTTTTTTAAATATTGTAAATCCAATCATGAGGTTGAAATTAGATAGGTACTTTTTTAATGTTAGTTTTCTGTTATGATTATGTCATAGAATATATTGATGAGTGAGAATTTTACAACCCGGTTTATTTTTAATATTGCTGCTTGTTACTAATGTATATACCTCTTTGGTTATGAGAAATTTATGAGAAATATATATAATGCAACATATTTTGCACAATCTGATCGCATACACATCCTTCTTAAGAACGTTTATATATAGAATATTCAATGGTCAACTAGACATATAAGTATTAAGAAGAAATAAAGATAATTGAAAAAAAATCTTAGAAATAATGTGATACTTTTATAACTTCTGGCCTGTGCGCCCTGCTACTGTATAACGTAATGATACCGCCAATTACAGAGCGCTGAATTATCGATCGGACCAATGCGCATAAAATAGGTACGAGTAGTCTAGAGTCCTTATTGGTCCTACTTCTTGCCTAACCCAACCAGTTAAGTCCAGAACACGAGTTTCAGCCTTTGCGATATGAATCATTTATTTCAAGCAAACTGGGTTTATATACAAACCAGACAGATCACATCGTACCATTAAATGGAAAACAACATTTGTACGAGATTTAGCCAAATGTGGCTGTGAATGGGGGGAGGTAGTAATTAATAGACAGCGAATAATTCAAGAATGGTAAATCGTAAAATATTAGTTCATAAGTCAAAATAACGATCATAATAAGAGGGGTATGATTATGAATAGTTTAGTTATTTAACAGTTATACGATAAAAATGTACACATAGTATTGGTCCATAAATGGATCGCAAAAGTTGCCATCCATTATGCTTATCGGGACATAACAGATACTCACCACTCTGGGTAATAAAACATTATAACCAGGGTAGATTAAACGTGACAATAAACTGTTTTTGAACACATACAAGGTGTGTCGATTTTCTTATGGTTAAGGCTTCAACAAACTTTAGTATACGCCCTTGACCACTTTTGTATAACACCCCGGAAGCTGAGTGAAGATCAGTCTTATGACCTGATTGAACTATATTTTTGGCAAAAGAAGACGATGGATATTTATCATCTACTCTTAATGTGTCATTTGATATTATTTGTTTTTGCAACACTTTAGGTACACATCCAAACATACTTTTACTAAAATTACAGTTAGCTGACAAGAAACCCTTTGAATTCAGAATGCGTTTTACCTAATAATTTGAATTTTAATAGTTGAGATCATGAGTGAATTGAAGCTAAACCACCATAGAAAGTTTGGAAGCACTGGATGGCCATTTCGTCCTATTGTAGGACTACTCAGCAATGCACATCCACGATACCGCTCGCGAGATTCAAACTCAGGACTTATAAGTCTCGCGCACGAACGCTCAACCTTGACATCACTGAGCTGCCCGGCATACAGTGGTGTCAATGTTGAACACCAACTAATCCACGAAATTGAGTGACACATCCACCATTGTCGTCAGTGATTTACTATCTCACAACAGACATGTTTGAACTCCATTGGTCACTGCTTCACACTAGAACTGTAGGAAATACCTCTTGAAATCAGTCACCAGTGAGCATATGTTGATAAATATCAGAAGGGTTGTTTGTGTATATTATAGTAATTTTAATAGATGAGATCATGAGTCAATTGAAGCTAGACCACATTTGAATTTATTGTTTTAATCTAACTGTTGTGAATTAAATGACCATGTACATTCATTATGTTCAATGTTATATCCGCTTATCAACTAACGTTCAATAATAAACTTTAAAAATAATTTCAAATTTCCATTATACGAAAATGTTTTTGTTGATTTTCACTAAATGTCTAGATTGATTAGGTTCAAATTTTATGCTACAGACTTAAGTTTAATTGATAATGAACTTTTCATATATTTACCATAGATCTAGAAACTAAAGGGATTTTACTTAGATTAAACTACAGAGTTATATATCTAACTGTTAGAAAAAGTATATTTCAGAAATTCTCTTTTTCTATAGAGTATCTTATTTCTTTTTAATTCCAAGAATGTTATGAAACTATGATAAGAATAGTTGGTACTAGTTTTATAATATCAGGTTTATCCGAATAGTTTTATTTTAAGGAGTAGAAGTTGAATAATCTTCTCTTGAATAATGTTAATTATTAATTTTTGAAAGAAGTATCGATTTCGTATATGTTTAATTCATTTGTATTAATTGTTTGAATCTGCTCATTGGTGTTTAGGACTGCAGGTGCATCTAGCTGACAAGTCAAAAATAAGACGAAGCACGCGTCCTGATTCCGATTGCTACTTACCTTCTATTTCTGCTTATAGTATTTATCTGTTAAATAAATAGTTCAAAATTAAGTTACCCTGCTCTAACGGTATGGCATGCAAATTGAAAGTAACAATAAATTGAAGTTGTAATATTCCATTGTTCTTAATGTTGAATCACTCCGTACAGTAGAACTGTCTTAACGTTCGTATTGATATTGGTTGAAAGTTGTTTTCAGGTGCATGTTGTTCAACTGTAGAGATACCGTTCTTCCTTTGCCAATCTCTTCCTTTACGTCTGCATACGATCCTCCTTGTTCATTGATGATGTAGCTGACCAGGTACGTGAAAGATTCTAAATATTTCAGAGTTTCTCCATGAAGAGAGATTAGTTTGGTTTTCTCCGTTTTGTATTTGAGGACTTTGCTTTTTTCCAAGTCTAAATCATCTCGTCTCATCCCAGCTATCTTTTACATTCCGTGCTTCACATCAGATGTTCAGGTCTTCATAATCCAGTCAACAACTAGGGGAGTAAGCCGCCTTGTCTGACTATGGTCTTCACTTGAAATGTGTCTGTCAGCTGTTCTCCATGCACCAATTTGAAGCGTAATCCGTCGCATGAATTCCGGATGATGTTGACGATTTTCTCATCTACTCACTCCATAGTGTCGAAGAAGTTTCCATAATGTTCTCCTATCCACACTGTGGAGTATTTTCTCATAGTCAAGGAAGTTGGTGTATAGTGACAAATTCCATTCAATTAATTGTTCA